AGACTTGGTGGAAATGCAATGAAAGGGAGATGGCAAACTTTCTTAGACTCGGTGAAAACAAACATGTGAGGGCTTTCATGAGCATTTGCACATCCAGTTGACAAGTCACGGTAAAAGTAAACTTGCCTGCTCTTTCTCATCATCCTCTCTCCACTATGATACAAAACAGGAATTAGTATGCTTGCTCTGACACCTCAAGGGTCAGATGAGTAGCACAAAAGGTTCCCAAACACTTATGTAGCAAGTGAAGTCACAAAGAACCTTGCGGGCTTCCTTCCTCTCAGCATATGTGTCTCCTCAGTTTATTTTATTACTCCTTTTAAATCCCCTCCCCTCCCCTTTCCTTGTCAAGTTGTATGTGCTTCTGGAGAGTTAGGAAGATTATGGTTTTGTTCTCTCTAAAAAATAAAAAGAGAGAGTGCTGTTTGGATGGGTAACCATCGAAACTAGAGTGGAGACCAAAATTCCCCTTCAAGCCAAATTCACAGGAGTTGTCCTGAGGTAAAAATTCTGAGGGAAGCCAGCCGTGTTTTAAAAATAAAGATTATTAACAGTCCTCAGGGCAAGGCAGGGCAGAGATTGCCCTCAACTGTAAAGTTAACCACTAGATTTCACCTCAGGCAAAGTTCACAGCAGCTAACTTCAAGGACAGTGGACTGGAGAACAAATTTTCCAGGTGGCCTAGTGACATAGAATCTCTCAGGGCCAAAACAGACACAGCATGGGCTAAAGACCATATCAGCAATTTCCATGCACGTTTAGATGTGATTACCCAGTTGGGCACAATGTTCACACAAAAATGGCATGTGGCTGAGAGCAGGGGCAGAGCTTTGGCTCTAGGACCCAACCATAACCCTTATGCTTTCTTCCCAAAGCTGGACACCTCCTTCTGCCTATTGGAAAGCAGCATGAGGGCTTGGGGTGGGGGGCAAAATTTTGGCCTTGCGCAAGGCACCATAGTGCCCAAGTCCACCGCTGCTGAGAGGATAGGGCCATCAATGACAGCTGTGGTAGCTTTTTACTGCATCCATTGTTAGAGGTAGTTTGCCTCTGAATACCAGTGAGGAGAGTGCTATGGTCCTCATGTCAAAGCTTGCAGGCTTCCTCATGGAGCTGTTTTTGGATTTCCCCTCCCTTAGGATTCCTTTTCTAAATATTTTTTGTTTCTGCAAAACATAAAAATTAGGGTTCCAGCCAAGCCTGTTGATATCTCCTCCTTGTGCGTGAATGGTTCTGTTTTGGCTACATGACCTTCTCCACTTGGGAAGCTTCCTTATACAGTCATACCATACAGATGCTTCAGGTAGCATTTTTTTTGGGTTGCGGACCGCCAAAACCTGGAAGTACCGGAACAGGTTACTTCTGAGTTTCGGTGGTCGCGCATGCGCAAAAGAAGAAGAGTTTGGATTTGATATCTTGCCTTTCACTCCCTTTAAGGAGTCTCAAAGCGGCTAACATTCTCCTTTCCCTTCCTCCCCCACAACAAACACTCTGTGAGGTGAGTGGGGCTGAGAGACTTCAGAGAAGTGTGACTAACCCAAGGTCACCCAGCAGCTGCATGTGGAGGAGCGGGGAATCGAAGCCGGTTCACCAGATTACGAGTCCACCACTCTTAACCACTACACCACACTGGCTCTCAAAAGCGCCAGATCGCAACCCACGCGTGCACAGACGCGCCGCTGCGGGTTGCGAACGTGCATCCCCCACAGATCACGTTCGCAACCCAAGCATCCACTGTACCGATTCAGACTCTTGGTCCATGTAGCCCCATATCGTCTGCACTGACGTGCAGTGGCTATCCAGGGTTTCAGGCAGGGGTCTCCCTACCTGGAGATGTTGTAGATTGAACTTCGTGCCTTCTGCATGCAAAGCAGATGTTCTGCCACCGAATCATGGCCCCATTCTGCACTCGCAGCCTGAACATTAGAAACAGAGGGAATGAATTTGCACCCTGTGTTTGTTATAGATAGTGTTTGTGATGTGTGGATGCTGCAAAGGGTGATTTTTAGGGTTAGGGGTTAGCAGGGTCAGAGCTGGTGTTGAGAGATGAACACCAAAATAAAAAATAAATAAATCTGAAGCCTTGTGATGTTCTTATCGTGGGGGTTGCTGTTGAAGTCCACAGAAAGTGTTGCCTCGAGTGAACTAAAGGAGTTTCACTTCTTGGCTGCTTTTCTACCAGTGACCAGTTACTGCTCTGTCAGCTAGGGCCCAAAATACGCAGCAATTTGTTTCCTACATTGTTTATCAGGAAATGGACCCGGAACAGGAAGAACAGGTCAAAGGTCAGCATTAGGACGAACGGGAAAACTTCACACATCAACAAACATTTTCTGCCTCTTTTTTTATTCATAAAAAAGTCAGAAACTCTTGGAAAAAAGGAAGTGCCATTTTTTTAAAAATCCCACTGCTCTTCCATCTTATAAATTATTTTGCCAAATGTTTCCTGCTGCATATTGACTAAATGCTTCATCTAATGTTTAGAGATAGAAGAAATAGGACCGAAATGTATTGTGAAAGTTTCCTAGTTGCTCATTTAGAGGCATACAAGTTGTTCTTTTTCCTGGGGGCACTCGAGGCTACAAGAGGACCGGCACTTTTTCTTTCCCCCCCGAATGTTAAATGTGTGGCACTTACTGTAAAAGCTTCATGGGGGAGTACTGGTACCGTTGTTTTTTTCTAAAACAAAAAAGCACATCTGATGCTCAGATGAACACAGTGCCTAGGATACTGGAAGGAGTACATAGGCATCATAACTAGTAGACATTTATGGCCTTCTTATTAATCCTCCTCCTCCTTTTCCTCTCCTCCTGCAGTGTCCCACCTCCCTGTTTGGATATACCATATATTATACACCTCCATCTTTCTATCATGTTTACTTCTTGCATTCACATAAGCTCTGCTGTAAGTTTTGGATCGTCCAGCCATCATGCAATGGATGGTTGTCCCCTTGGTCTTTTGAAATCGCAGGCTCTCCATACCAACAGCTTTATTCCATCTGTATGAATCACCTCTTGTCAAATGTCCTGCGTATGTCCATTTTATAACCTTATCTTCCATGAATATATCTAATCCCATGGCAGCAAATACTGTGGTGGCGTTTATGAGCAGACATTTAAATACAGTGGTACCTTGGGTTAAGTACTTAATTCATTCCGGAGGTCCGTTCTTAACCTGAAACCAGGTTTCATTACCAAAATTTAGACTTTCAGCTGTTTGCAGTGAACAAATCAAACAAAAGCAATTGAAATAGCTCAACGCAACTGATGCTTCAAGTGATTCCCCCAAATTCAGCTGAAAATGCAGGTGACAACCAAGGTACGTATTTGAAGATATGAAATACAACTAATGTTAAAGGTTTTACATTAAGATAGTACAGGAAAATGTAAAGCTTTATATAATAGTATGTGTTGCATTGTATTATATTATATATTATATTCTTGCTAATATTCGGATTATCATGACTGTGTATGGCATGTGTAATGCACACACACACACACAAACCACAGTGGTACCTCCAGTTACAGACGGGATCTGTTCTGGAGCTCCAGTCGGATCCCGAGGTTTCTGCAACCAGAGGGACCGCTTCTGCGCATGCGTGCAGCACGATAGAGCGCTTCTTCCAGGAAAATACTTCCGGGTTTGCCGCATTCGCATCCTAATGGATACAAAACCGGAGGTGTGCGTATCCAGAGGTACCACTGTATCATGGTAGTACATGCCATGTAAAGAATTTGTCCCTCCTGAATTTCCCATTATTCACCTTCACTGGATGGAGTCATTGGGGGTTTGTAATATGATAGAACAAAAAGAACTACTTCTCCTCTTTCTCTACACTGTGCAAAAAAATTTTCACCTCTGCAACATTCTCTTTTACTAAAGCCCTGAATGTTGTAACCTTTCCTCATGGGGAGTTGCTTGACGGAAGGCTTCCGCATTTGGGAGTCTTTAGTTCCGCTTAATCCGAGCCACACACACTAAATAACGCGAAACAATAAATAAAGAGGGGTGAAGGGAGGGTTTGGCTGTCATTCTAACACAGTTTGGCTCAGGGACTCCCAGAGAAGCAAATAAACATGCCTCGAGAGAGAGGCAAGAGATTACAGTCCATTCGGGAAAAAGGAACTACTAAGATATAGGGGGTATAAATCATAAGCGCATAAACTGCAATAAATGTCTCCAGGACAAAGGTCTGTCTGCACTACATTTGCAGTTTCCAGTTTGTTTCCGAGATCGTTTCAGAGCTTTAAAAAGTGCTAAACAGCTTTAGACCAGGGCTGCCCTCATTCCGTCATATGAGCCTGCCCAAGCATTAAATCGTGGTAGTAGTAGTAATAATAATAATAATAATAATAATAATAATAATAATAATAATAATATTTATACCCCGCCCATCTGGTTGGGCTTCCCCAGCCACTCTGGGCGGTTTCCAGCAAAATATTAAAATACAGTAATGCATCAAACATTAAAAGCTTCCCCAAACAGGTAGCTGTTCCCTACATTGTGCCCTGCAGATCACAGATTGCAGAAATTTCAACTAAAGCATCCTGGACAGATGGCCATCCAACCTCTGTTCAAAAACTTCCAATGAAGGAGATTTCACCACTTCTTGTAGGAGTCTGTTCCACTACTGCTCTTACTGCCAGGAAGTTTTCCGAATGTTTAGTCAGAATCTCCTTTCTTGTGACTTGAAGCCAATGGTTCGAGTCCTACCCTCCAGAGCAGGCTAGGATGGAAGATGATCTTCCCTTTTTTTGTTTCATTTAGTGGGGCCCTGTAACAAAATCCCGCAGTTTGCAGTGCTTCTGTTCAAGGAGCCAGGTCTTCCCCTCTCCCATTTGGTCCCCAACAACATCTTAGGCTCACTGAGCATGCTCAGTCCTCACTGAGGTGGTTGTGAGCCCCTCTGCCCCCCCCCCATTTTGACAGGGGCATAGGACAGATTGCCTCTTGTTTTATGCTGATATACACAGGAAGGATATACAATACACAACAGCAGATTGTATAAAAGCATTTTTTTATTAACTAATTACCTTCTCTTTTTAAAAAATCCTTATTGGGTCCCTGTCATTAAGTATCTTCTCGCGGATCAGAATTGTCTCTTTCCACTATCAATAAGCTATGTAACTAAAAGTATCTATGCACACAATTTGTTGTTGTCTTTTTAAAGGAATCTTAACCTAAAGACTGATAGGGAAGAAGGGAAGCACCAGCAAAACATAGAAATTAAATAAAAACGTTTTTAAAAAGCAGTCCCATTTCACATAATTAAGCTCAGCAATGCAAAACTTGGATATTATTGTTTTATGTAATAAAGCAACCTGTCACAGTTTCATGTTTGAGTTCACTCACTGTACATTTAAAAATACTTTTTTTTAAAAAAAATCAGAGTTTCTAAACAAATTTACTAGAAATCAGAAGAGTTCAAGAAGTTTTGCAACAACTATTTCACCCCAAGGAGTGTTTCTAATTGAGATTCTATGGGGGAAAGTAACCTTTCCCACTTTTAAGGATTTGCTTTTGCACGAACTTCATTATACACAATTCTGATTCTGATTAGAGGGCACAGTGACATGTATACACAGTGGCATTTTTTCCCTTGCGAAGAACAGTTAAGGAAAAGGATTGCTGAGTGTTCTGCTCAAACGTGTTTTAAAAATGCCAGACATCTTAAAATAAAAAAAATGAAGCTTTTAACTGAGTATGCTTTAAAAAAACACAGAGAGCGACAACTGCAATGGTTAAATATGTGGAAAAGATTGTACAAAAGCATCAGGAAGTCTTACATTGTGTTATAGAACACTGTACAGTGAACCCCAGCTTTCCCAAGTTTGGCAGTCAGCTTATGTTTAACACACACTTCACTTCACGACAGCTACCAAACATTTAAAATATAGTTCGTTCTGGCAAGATAAACGGATAGCCACTGCCGGGCTGTGGATAGGCGACATTTGCATCTGAAATGAGCTGCTTCTCTCTTTGCAAAGGTACTGTAAGGCAGGTGCACGGTGAACGATCACGGGGTTCATGCATGGATGCGGCTGGACAACAGATACCACGGAATTTCGATCTGAATGCGCCTTCTGAGCCACTGCAGTGACATGCGCTTAACCATAAAGCAACGGTAGCGTGCACACTGCTTCCATATGCTATATCAGCTCTGGAGTGGCTTGCTTCAGTCTGACAGGGATGGCGAGCGAATGGAACGTCCGCTGGCAGGGCTGTTGGAGAAGGTGAAAGGCTCTTTCTCCTTCTCTTTGGTGTCGTGCTTGTGCTTGTGCTTGTGTTTGTGCTTGTGCTTCTTCTTCTTCTTCTTGTGGTGGTGATGGTGCTCGCTGTGCTTGGAAGAGCTGGACTCTTTTGTAAAACCGGGCAGCGTGGGCACCGGAATCGGCAGCATGCTTAGCTCCTGCGATGACTGTTCTTTGCCTGAAACAGAAAGGCAGACGTTCCATTGCAGAACAACACAACACACAGAATTTGCAGAATTTGCCATTCTGAGGCCCTGGGGGACCACGTGCATTATTATATCCAAGCTTTGCATGTTTTCCCACTGCAGGCTTCTTTATCTGTGGTGCTTTCGAGATGGCAAAGTGTTGGAGAACGTTTTTGCAAGAGATGCTACAGCATCCCTGAGATCATAAGCAAAGCAGAGGGCCTTCCTGGTAGTGAGTGGCACCTGCCCTGTGGAACTCCCTCCCATCAGATGTCAAAGAGATAAACAACTATCTGACGTTTAGAAGAGATCTGAAGGCAGCCCTGTTCAGGGAAGTTTTTAATGTGTGACATTTTAATGTATTTTTAATCTTTGTTGGAAGCCGCCCAGAGTGGCTGGGGAAACCCAGCCAGATGGGTGGGGTTCAAATATTATTATTATTATTATTATTATTATTATTATTATTAGGGTTGCTTTGAAATCACATCATATGAGTGTCCATGTAGCTTTCTAAATGCTACAACTGATTCTTAAGAAGCCTTTGCCAACCTTAGACAATTCAAGATAAATAAGTAGCATGGGGGTGGGCCTATCGCTTGTCAACAGTGCATCCAGTTGTATGTGGATGATATCAGGCCTAAACGATAGCATCTTCAGTAAAGGACTCTAGACAGCAAGGCTGATAAGCACCTCTGACTCATAACCTGAATAATTGCTATCAACCAAAAGGTACACATTACTGGGCTAGAGAAATCAGCCGCTAAAGAAAAGGTAGGTAAACTGGTTTCTTTTGAAAAATATACCCCTTTTTTACAGATGGGAACCTGAGGTCGGCAAGAGCCCGAATCCTCCAGAGTCCAACATCCTGTTTACTGTCTCGCACCAACTCTCTGAGCCAAAGATGATCCAAGTCACTATAGCCAAAGCACCCACACAGCGTCTGAATATACAGAGAGAGCCTGGAGCAATGGCTTTTGAATGACAGTCTGAATGGAAAAGGAAACTTAAACATCATTCAAGATTTGGTACGTGGGACGTTGGGGGGGGGGAGAAAATTTCTTTCCACTGTTAAGAACTGCAACACGTTAAACAGGAAAATGTGTGGCAATAGTTCCCTCTCGAAATGGGGCCAATAATTATTTTGGAAGAATAAATATCTGAACAGGACAACAGAGGGGAAGGGGCAGAAAGATGGGACACAGGAAGGCGCTGAAACTACATTCGTGAAGGTCACGGTCTTTGGCCCATTTATGCCCAGTCTGCCTCAGCACAAATATCGTTGGGACTACTCTAGAACAAATCGATTGTGGCCTAAATCCCACACACCAGAAGATAACTTATCTCTCACTGAGATAAACAGGAGTCATACAAAAGATTGCAGGGATCTACTGTTCTAAAATTTGCCCCCAGCCTGCACAGCTTAGTAATTGATCCTTCTTCCTCACATGAGTTCAGTATCTTCATTTATGCTTCCAACACAAATATCATTTGTCCTCTTGACCCTGGACTAATGCATCACACCAGCTCTTTTCTTTTACAGCAACAGCGCATGCTGGTGATTATGTACAAACTTTCTGAGTGTCTAATCCCAGTTAAGAAAGTGTTTGCTTAACCCAAAGAGGACCTCCCTAAACCAGAGGTGGCCAAGCTTTCTTGGTCTGAGGGCCACACTGAGAGTTGGCCAACCATTTGGAGGCCACTTGCCAGACACCGTAGCCAAAGTATACTCAAGTCACTCACGCATGTACACACGCTCAACGCGTTCAGATCACACACATACATACCACAAATGCATTGCACACAAGCAAAGAAGAAGAAGAGGAAGAAGAAGAGTTTGGATTTGATATCCCGCTTTATCACTACCCGAAGGAGTCTCAAAGCGGCTAACATTATCCTTTCCCTTCCTCCCCCACAACAAACACTCTGTGAGGTGAGTGGGGCTGAGAGACTTCAGAGAAGTGTGACTAGCCCAAGGTCACCCAGCAGCTGCATGTGGAGGAGCGGAGACGCGAACCCGGTTCCCCAGATTACGAATCTACTGCTCTTAACCACTACACCACATTGGCTCTCAAACCATAGTTTCCACACATTCAGGTGGACAGGCACACAGAGTCCACTTCCTCTTCTGACAATCAGCAAAGGCATCCCACCATTGTAAGAAAAACTCAGAAAACAGGTGGAAGTGCTCAGAGAGGCTCAAGAAACAAAGGGAAACGAGACACTACTTTTCCAAGGTGAGAGGAGCCCAATCTGCGGGTTGGATCTGGCCTGCAGGCTCGCCAGCCCTGCCTTGAACTTTAGGTCACAATTCTGCAAAGTTATTAAAAGCAACTGCTCCAAATGCCCCTTTACCTTCCCTGTGCATCCCAGGGAAGGACAACATGTGGACCTCATTCAGCTCCTGACCACAGACTCATCTGCTACAGATTTTGGGGACTTCAGAGGTTCCTAATTATTTTCCTTCCATGGATAGCAGAAATGATGGCTCTCTCTGTGGTGGCACCCCATGTGTGGAACCTGTTTTAGGGCAGGAGCTGTCTTACCCCTGATTTTTATAAGCTGCTCTGGGAGTCTTTTGAGCTAAAGGATGGGGTATTGCTGCTTCAAACAAAACAAAAAATAATGGCTGTTGGGATTTTGGGGAGATAAAGTTGTTATACCGGATTGGAGGAAAACTATTCTTGACATTTAGCAGTAATAGTAACTGGAGAATCCCATTAGACATTTTGTGTGGAAAGGAAAATGAAGGGACTTGAGACGTCTGGGGTCAAAGATTGGGAAAACATTGCCAAGCAGATCAAGGAACAGCTGGATACCATCCTGGAGTGACACTCTGAATAATCTCTATATATAGACGTACCTTGGAAGTTGAACGGAATCCATTCCAGAAGTCCGTTCGACTTCCAAAACGTTCAACTTCCAAGGCGCTACTTCTGATTGGCTGCAGGAAGCTCCTGCCGCCAATGGGAAGCTGTGGAAGCCCCGCTGGACATTCGGTTTCCAAAAGAATGTTCGAAAACCGGAGCAATCACTTCCAGTTTTCGATCATTTGGGAGCCAAAATGTTCAGCAACTAAGCTGTTCGAATTCCAAGGTAGAACTGTATACATAATTGACAGACAGAGAATCTGAAGGTCCTGTTTACCTTTTACCTTCCTTTTTATTATTTTTTACTTCCTGTCTTTTTTAATTTCTTCCTTTATTAATTTTGCTCTTGGTTATTTTTTGTTTGGTTTTTTATGTTCTTTATTCTAGGTCAATGCAGGTATGCACAGGAAGGTGATGGATGAAATAACCTGTGTGAGAGAGGCGGGGAAGGGAAGATCTTCCAGGGTGGGAGGCTGGGAGAAGAAAGGGAAGCTCTCAGGTGAGAGCTGGGAGGGTTCATCCACTTCTGTGTAAGACAAGAGTTAATATCTACCTTTGAGAAAGAGCTTTGTGTATTTTCTTTTCTCTTTCTTTGTTTTTCTTCTTCTTTCTTTTTACATAGATTGGTTTGTTTTTTATTGTATTACTGGTATATGAAGAAAAGTTTCGATATTTTATTTTTTTACAAAAACCCCCCAAAAAACATAGCAAAGGTCTCCCTAGGAATCTCAACTATATTGTCTCTTCAGCATTACCATCTCTTTAATGTGCTGGATTTCTTGACTTGTTCTATTCCCAGACAAGCCTCTGACCACATAATTACAGCTTCTGCATTACAGGCTTACGTTGTAACTATGAAACTGTCATCCACAATTCATTGCGTGAACATAAAAAGTGCACCCCTGATGATTTGGGTACACACATCTAACACACTCTAAACCATACCAGATTTCAGAGTCATTTCGAAACACAAGTTTTAGAAACCAAATGCAGAAGTACAAAATGAACTTTGCAGCCTATCAAAAGGAAATAACACAATGGGGACTATGAGAGAGCGGGCAAACCCAGGGATATACTGAAGTTTAAACTAAGACCTCCAAGTTGCCACAATCATAAAGAAACTCTTGTTTTTTTAAGTTCCTAAACAATCATGCAACTTTTCACAGAAATAGCTTACAATGTGTTCAGTGGGTCTTAGTCCCAGGAAAGCCAGTTTAGGACTGCAGCCTAACATATTACAAAGGAAGGTGAACCCCAGGTCCACAGCTTTGCAGTTTTTGCCTTGAGGAAACACAATACTGTAAGCTTCAGAGTTGAAAACTGGGGCTGAAATTCTCGGTTACTACCATGGTTTTAAATCTTCCACTAATGAATGCATCAGGTTTCAAATGATGCCAAAGTACGTGTGCATTTAATAGAGGAACAAAATACATACGCTGCAAATAAAAATAAACTTGTTTAAAACATTATCCCTCTTTGTTAATTCCAGGGATTGGAAAACAGCCAGCTCAGATGTTTTGTACTACAACAGGGCCTCCGTGGGCACAAAAGGTTCCCCACTGCAGAGAGCTGATTTCCACAAGATGGAAAGCAACTGAAACAGCGATAGGCTTATCCCTTCTGCTCCCCCTCACCTCTTTATTAACACCACATCTAAAAAAATAAATTTAGAAAAATACATGGAGCAGAATGCAAAATAGACATAGGAACTGCCTTGCTCTGAGTCAGACCATTAGCACATCTAGGTCAGTACTGTCTACACTGGCTGCCAGGAGATCTCCAGAGTTTCAGATGGGACCAAGACAATCCCGGTCCTACCAGGAGATGCTATGGTCTGAACCTGGGACCTTCTGCCTGCAGAGGAGATAGATGCTCTGCCATTGAGCTACAGCCCTTCCACAACAGACATGTGTGAGATGAAAGGTTCGCAGCTGATGCCCACTTCAACCCAGAACTGCTCAAGATGCATAAATCATCAGTATTAAAGTCTCACTAGGATGTGAGCAAGGGACGCTGGTGGCGCTGTGGGTTAAACCACAGAGCCTAGGACTTGCTGATCAGAAGGTCGAATCCCTGTGATGGGGTGAGCTCCCGTTGCTCGGTCCCTGCTCCTGCCAACCTAGCAG